AAATTTGAATTGCGTGTATCTAATTCCAATATTATTTTCGGCAAGGATCGATTATGGGTTTCTATTTTGGAAGATCTTAGGCGATAGATTTTACATGAGGCTCATAGAAGGATGTGAAAAATTTTGTATCAAAGCATGAAGCCTATTAGTTAGTGAAAGTTGAGCACTAGCGATCGAGAGATCTTTTGGAGCCATTAACCCATTTTAGAGTGGAAACGGGAAGATGTAACTATAGATTTTTCTATGAGTTTTCCTATGTCAAGATGGGGCCATGATGTTATTTGGGTTATTATTGATTGATTGACAAAATCTGCACATTTTATTCGTATCTGACATACTGATTCAATGGATAGATTGGTGTAAGTATATGAGAGTGAGATTATCAAATTACATGGGATACCGAGAATTATAACTTCTAATAGGGTTGGATGGTTTACCTCAAGATTATGGAAAGGTATTTAGCAAGGATTGAGAATGAAACTACATTTCAGTATAGTTTTTAATACTCAAACTAATGGGCAGTCTGGGAGGACTATACAGGTACTGGAATGTCTTCTTAGACTCTGTGTTCAATATCTTGGTTACAGTTGGGAAGATTATGTTTCTCTGATCGAGTTTGCTTACAATAACAATTTTCAATCAAGCATGAGTATAGATCCATATGAAGCTTTATATGGTAGAAAGTTTCATACACTATTGTCTTAGACAAAGGCGGGGGAGAGACATCTGAATGGGCCAACCTTAGTTGATGATGCTATTGAGAAGATCCGTTTGAGCACAGACTTATCAAAGGTTGTACATGGCAGACAACGATAATATTTTGATGCTAAACATTGGGATGTGGAATTTCAGGAGTATATGTAAAGATTAGGCCAATAAAAGGCATTAACAGATTTGACAATGAAGAAAAGTTGAGTTCAAGATATGTTAGACCATTTGAGGTGGTCGAAAGGATTGGAAAGTTTGTTTATATGTTACAATTGCCAAATTATATGTCAAAAATTTATAATGTTTTCCATGTGTCACTTTTGAGAAATAGATATTTGATTATGGAAATAGAATATCTACCAAAGATATTGAGGTATGTCTGAATCTGAGCTACAGGGAAGAACCGGAGAGAATTCTGGCCTATTGTTTCATAAAGCTAAGAAGTAAATAAATTCCTATGATTAGAGTTCAGTGAAAGAACAAGACTAAAAGAGAATCTACTTGGGGAAAAAGAGTCTAAGATGAGATAGTTGTACCTAGATCTATTTTGAAATGTCGAGGATGGCATTTTTTTGAGGGGAGAGTTGTGACACCTCCAGGTTCATCATTCAGTTCTACCTATTTTGACCTAATTGGAAAAAGGTAAAGATTTGAACTTTTAAGTTTTTTAATCATTTGCATGTCTTTAAGAGTGTTTTAATGCATGAAAATGATTGGGTGTGCTCTAGTATATGTCCCAAGTGTTTGGTATATATTTTGGCAAAATCTGGGAATGTCACTTTTGGAGCACAGCGATGCTGGGTGTTCAAGCGTAGTTTAGTCAAAGCGCCAAATAGTGACATTACATCCTCGTGCACTCAAGTTTTTGCAGATTTTTTAGCGTCATAGCACTCCCATTTGAGCACCAAAGCTCTAGGCCATTATGAGCTCATTAAATATATTTTAAATTCTATTAATCTCATCATTTTTTTCAAGTAACCATCCAAACATGAGAGAGAATGAGAGAAAAAAGAGGGTTTTGGAGAGGGAAATCCTGTTTTGAGTTGCTGTTGGATTGAGATAAGTCACATTATGTCTATCTCAATTTTTTAAAATATAAAAATTTTCTAAAACTTTTGATTAAATTTGTATTTCAATTAGCGAAAAACACATAGAACTTCACACTAATAAAACTTTCACCGCGTAACTTTATATATATTATAGAGAGCATGATTATAAATATTTTGAATATTTTCTAAAAAATTTATACCAAGTAATTTGAATTTTGTGTAGTTTTAATTGACTAGAAAATAATCTGCACACTAAAAAATAACGTTGTAGTTCAATAAATGTTTTAAAATGGTGTTTTACACATGCCTTTGTAATTTTGATTTGTTCTAACAATGTCAAAATTTGCTCAATAAAAGTTCAGTGGCCTACCTTTATAGAACACTGTAAAATGTGACACATTAATACCAGATATCTCTCTCATGTTATTATAATTCCCTTTCTTCTTGATTCTTTGGTATAAAAATTTGATATCATCTTCACATTTGGATAGCCACGTACATTTAGCTCTTTATTTTATTCATTTATATTCATAAATGTTAGCAACAATTAAAATCTCTCAAGAAGTTCTTTATGATTTTGTTTTTTATTTAAAGAAATTATAGAGTTAAACATGTTGGTGTAGGAGTTTCAAGAAGATAGGCTGGACTTCACATTTTTTAGCCTATTACATAAACCAAATGGGAGATCTCCATTAACCTAAATGTTTCAAGCATCTTGAACAATATTGAAAAAGTTATTGTAGTGGCTATAAGTGTTCTTATACATAAAATTGCAATTAATTATATGTGTGTTTCCTATCTTGATAATAATAGGTGAGTGGCCAAATGTGAAGGGGCTAAGAACTTTGAAATGAGACTGTGGATAATATTTTATTTAATGATTATTACAAAAAGGTCTATTAAGAAGGCATATAAAGACATTGTCAAATTAAACCAGTTGAAACATAAACTAATGTTTGGGAGTTTTATATAAGCCAGAGTTGAAGATGTTAGACTTAAAATCAACAAGCTCATAGGAAAATTATGAAAAAACCCATTTTTTCCTCAATCTTTCTTTTGTAGTTGAAGCCTCCCATAATAAGCTAGGGTTCACAGTTAACATCAACCAAATTAATAATAAAATCTCATATGGACTTCATTTCCAAAGCATCATTTTTTTATATATAAAAGTAATAAGTATAAAGTTGTTGGATGAAAAACTTAACCAACCATATTTGCATTGAGATTGAATGATCATGCTAGAGAAGAAGACTTTATAAGATTCTCTTTTGATCTATATACCTCATTGATGAAAAAAATGAAAGTTTTGCAACCTTCCTCCGACCATATTTGTATTGAGATTGAATGGCTAAGGTAGAGAAGAAGAATTTATAGGAGCCATATTTAATCCATATATGCCCATTGATGGGAAAAAAAAATTAAAGTTCGTGCAACTTTCTCTTGACAAATCCATAAAAGAATCACTTATAGAAGTAGAAGAGATTTTAGCCTCAAGTAGACAAACAAGGTCTATTCCTAATCATGAGTTAAGTTCATGTAGTTAGGGATTTTAGCATCACCATTTATCTAACATTCCAAGCAATAATTTTAGGAAATATAATCACTAAGTTAATAAAGCACCTATAGGTTTGCATTTCCTATTTTTTAGTTAGGTTGCTAAATAATAGTAAACAAATTCAGGTGTGAATAAGATTCTCTAGCTTAGGTAATCTCAAAGATTGAGTGTTGGTGTCAATAAGCACTTTGTCTGATTTATCAAAGGCATTCCCAATGTTATTTGGTTGAGAAGGGGTTATTAAGGAAAGACTATGAGCCTTAGCAAGAGGTGGTTTGAGAGATATATAAGGGTAATTTGAGGATTCTTTCTTCCTAAGAGGGTGAGGTGCAATAATTTTAGTGATGTTTACAAGATAAGAGATTGGTGGGTTTAGGACTGGGGCAGCTATCGAAGTAGCAACTAACAAAGAGAAGAAAATGAGTTTTAAGATGTTATTTCCTCTAATGATAGTTGTTTTTTGTTCTTGGTATGGCTTCTAACCCTTCTAAAGTAGGCAAAATATAAGGTCAGTGCTTGGTGGGTGGAAGATTTAGAGCAGTTAGAAGAGTCAAGATCAAATGTATCGCATACATTTCAAGGGGTAGGCTTCCATTCATATAAGATAGGTTGAAGAACATTTTTACCTTTGATAGTCAAGGTGATGAAATCTTATAAATCAAATTTTGTAAATATTTGCATTCTTACTCTCGTAAAAGTTAATTAGCCCGTTTTTCAATGAGGGGATTAGTAGTGAGAGTAATATAAATTTTGCTAATATTTTGATGTTTGAATTTAATAATAGCAAGAGAGAAAAGTTGGAGAATTTCACTCATATAGGAACCTCTTTGAAGCTTTCTTTTACAAGTTTAAGTTGAGAACAACCTCTATTATTAATCATATCCAGAACTTTAGCACATTAAACTTGAATAGAAAAAAAAAATACTAGCTAAATAGAGAAGGTTGAGTGTACCTTTGAGTTTCAAGAACTTGCTATCATTTTTTAGGATATTACAATATAAATGTCTCTTGTCAATAGTATAACCTACAAAAGTCAAAACCTACAGTTTGGCTCCATCTTTGATCATACCATTAGAGAATCATAAATTATTATGCTAGCATGTGATATAATTAGAGAGAAATTGATAGACGAGGGGACATTTGATTGAAGTAGAGTTTTTTTTTTTCAATTCATATTAGATGGGTATCAACTAAAAAGGACGAAGAGGTAAGAGACGGATATAGAGAAAAATATAGGATGAAGAAGGTCCTCAAACCCAATCAAAGCAGGAGTAGACCATTTAGGATGAGAGTATTTTTCAAAGCTGTAAGAGAAAGTAGCATTAGAAAGGAGGCCTTTTGAGAGAACTCAAGAAACCTTTTGCATCTACTTCTTAAAATTTAAGTACACTTTTTTATATAATTTTATAAGTATATAAATTGACTAATAGTGATATCACAAAAATATAAGCTCTATTGTAAAATTTATTATTGCACGTTTAGCAAAACCAAACCCGGAAGCCCACCCTGAAAAATACAGATTTCATAAATTGCAAAAAAGAGTGGGCCTCACTGCAACTCGCAAGACCAACTTCTGAACGTGCGCAGCCTTAGAAAGCTCCTTTACCCATTTTCGTTTGAGTTCTCATTGCGCCTCGTTTTTTTTTTTTTTTTTGGTGGCCTTTCCCTTTCGCCTTTCCGTTCCTTCACCTTTCCGCTTTCCGTTTCTAAATAAAGCTTCTCGAGGCGCATCGGGCTCCAATCTCTCTGTCGCTCTCTCTATCTCTCTGCATGCTCGTTTGTTTTATAAATGGTGGATAGCTTCCCCTATAGCGACATAGGGGAATCTGGATTTCGTGTACCGCGCGTTGTGGTTGTCGTCGGGTTTGAGGAAGAAAAATCAGCGATTTGGAGAGGCTGGGATGAAGGCGAATGGAGAGGGGAGGACGGTCGCCTTGTCGACGGCGGTGGCGGCGAGCGATATGAACCCTCCGGGGTCCGCGGACGCGAGGGGAAAGCACAGGATCTTGGCCGAGCTGAAGCATTTGGAGCAGGAAGCGCGATTTCTTGAGGTAGTTTCCATCGCTCTATTTGTTCCCGTTTTGGCTTTTAATTAGCTTAATTAGTTGTGTTTTGTTGTTGATTGATGGTATTGCTGACACTAATGAAGGTTGAAAAGGTCTCTAAACTGTTTATTTTAGGAATGGTTTTTTGTTTGACTTGGGTAAACGTTGTCTCTTGTTAGAAAGATATTACAGCACTAATAAGTGATTTTTCCGATAGGACGGTTTTGAGGTGTAGACCACTAATTACCTAAATAAAGGAGGTAATATTGGCACTTTATTCAGTATCAAGCTAGAAGTTGGCGCTTTTTTTTTTCTTATGATTCATGGAATAAAGTATTTGTCTTAGGCGCATAAAAATTGGTCTATTGATTCTTGAATAATATTCTAGTTGAATGCTTGCTTTTTTCAAGTAAGAGACTTGAAGATTTCTAAAAAGGGAATCTGATTATACTTTAGTTGGAATAACGACTAGTTGGACGTGTATGAAGGTTATTTTTTAGGAATTCATTTTCTGTTATTATCTTCCTTATTTTAAGTTGTCTTATTTGATTGAGAGTGATGTAATCAAATTTGGTGTAATCTTGCTTCTAGCAAGCATGTGGATTTCAAATCGTTTGCATGACTTTCTTGATCATGAATATTTAGTCATTATGTCTAGCAGAGGGCCATTAGGTTTTCCTATAAATTATTTATTTTCACATTTTCAATTTCATCAAAGGTAATGAATAAGTGTTATAGTTTATAAGAGTGTGACCTACATTTTTTTTTTTTTCTGAACTGCGTCATTTTCTACATCCTATATTAGACTTGCATTGGAAGCCCTAGCCCTTAAGAGATCCTATTATGAAATATAATATATTAGCTAAAAAAAAGTGATATCAAAGCTTAATAATGCATAAAAAATGTCTTCAAAAGGTAGGATATTATATAACTGGTTTAAAATATAAGATAATGTGTTATTTAAAAAAAGTTTCATAAGAATTATTATGAATTTAACATTTATATTTCAGTATTGGATGGGATATATAATCTTAGGATAATGCCCATGATAATGTTAATTGTTAGACCATTTTCACATATTCTGCTACATTTTGAGCTTGATGATGGTGATAAATTGTTGGATCGTGTGTTGTTTGGTAATTTAGTTAACAATAAAAATCACAGCTAGCAGAGTGCTCAAAATTATTTTCTTACAAAACTTATTTTAATCTTCTTGCTAAAACCTTCGCAAAACATATAAAATATACATAATCATAAACTAATTTAATTAATCATCTAAAATGTTAGTTTTGTGTGGAATCTGATTGTGTTGATTAATCGAGTTGTATTTTTGTCTCAGACCTCAATTTAGTTTATCGTGCTTACTAGGGGGTTGCAGGGGGTCCTTCCCTGCTTGGTTTCAGGTGCTTTACACCTTTTTTTTTTCGTAAAGCACCCGGGCACTGTGTACTCAAGCGCCTTGCCGCTGCATAGTTTGGTGAAAAAAAATAAGGAAGCAGAGAGCTGCGGCGCTGTCGTGCCGACTGAATTAGAGTGGGAGCGCCGCGGCGCTTAAACTTGGCGCTGCATTGCTGGGAGGCCAGCTGGGTAGTTTTATTCTTGTTGTTCATTAAGGGTTGTGTCTCTTGGTTATTTCAATTGTATCTCTTTGTTTGCTCTTGTATAAGGGTGTAGAGATACAAAGAGAGAGTTAGAGAGAAGCGAGATATGCACTATTTTCTTGCATTTTTATAGTGGATTTCTTGGTATCGTGAGGCTCCTAAGTTTTTTTTTTTTTGCTTTCGGATTTTTTCACGTTAAATCCTGGTGTTCTTTTATTTCCGCTTCTTTTATATTTCTTGTTTGTTTCGCTGCAAGTTCCCCCAACATAAAACTCATAGATGTTAAACAAAATTTTACTAAAACTCTTTAGTAATCATCAAAATTTTACTAAAATTCTATTACTATAGTCTCACTAAATTTCTTATTTCTACATTTTGTAACTCAAATCTCAATTAAATAAACCTCTTTCTTTCATACCTTAGATATATATTTTTATTTTTATAATAAAAAAAACTGTAACTACAACTATTACTGACAAATTGATCAAAAACATCGAAATTAAAAATTTTATGATGGGCCCAAAACCAAATTTTAAAACCTTGATTTGTACTAGCTTTCTAAATTTCAGTTGGAAGTATTATTAAGTGGCTCTTATGGATCAGTTTTAACAGGTGCTGATCTAAAATAGTGCAATGCATGAGAGATTTGTGATTTTTTTTTTTTTCGTAAAATCAGCCCATACAAGATGGTGCGCATTGATGGGAATTACAAATAATTGTGGCTTAGTTGGGTTGAAACAGATTAGTGAGGGAGTTTGTAGAATTGTTAAGCGTAAATGGCCATTTTTTACCTATCCTTTTTTATTTCATTCTAAGTGTGTTCGGATAGGCGTTGTATATATGTGGCACTCATAATTCATGGATTTCATGGTTTTACATTATTTATTTCATTTAATTTGCAGTTTTAAGTTGTTTGAAACTAATTTTATTAGTTTTTTCTATAATAATCAAAAGCATTGGCCGAATTTGGTATCTTTTTTTAATATTTATTTTTATTTTTGTTTTGACAAAAAAAAAAGAGGATAAACTATGTTTCTTTACTTTATATGTATTTATTAAAATTTTATTTTATTTTAAAAGCATTAAAAATAAGTCCAAAATATGTTTAATAGTTTAAAAATTTTTTTATTCTCCCTCAAATTCAACCCAATTGTCCTTACTCCCAACTTCCTTTTTTCCTCTATTTAAAAAAAAAAAACTACTTTCTACTCCCTTCCTTCTCCCTCAATGCAAGTTGGATCACTGCTGACAAAACGAGCTTGGCAATCTTGAGTGTCCACCTCAATTCCATCCTTACCCTTCCCTAGTGTCCAAAATCTCCCCGCTCGCAATCATGGTCGGCACATGATAAGATTTCCTTCAAATCCTTCTTTATAGACTTCAAAGAGAACACTGTCCATTGATTGGTTGCTCAGCCATGAGCGCTCGCACGTTATGTTGAAGCGCTGATGAATTAGGTTGACAATGATGAGAAGCTAATGGTTTCCCGGGCTCCTAGAGATACCGGTGGGTTTCCCTTTCAAATTGGGTGGGGTTAGAATTTCTGTGGAGAAGATGACTGAGATTGCATGAAGAATTAGTAATTACTAGTGTTTTGAATGATGAGCTTGTGATTGTTTTTGGGAGTTTTATTTTTAAAAATAATAAATACATAAAATATCAAACATGTTTTTTTACTTTATGTTACAATAGAAATAAATTAACGATAAAAAGAAAAAACTAAAAAATAAAAGTAATTTTAAATGGCCCCTTAAATTAAAAAGTACTGGCAATATTTTATGATGTGGCACAGATAGCTTTCAAAAGAGAGATGGACCAACCATTAAAGTCCAAAGCAAGAAGGAAGTTGGAAGATGCAAGAACTAAGGACTATAAGCAAACCTATTAATTATAACTTTATTTTGATCTTTATTTATGTATTAAATGCTATAAGAGACTATATCATGATGATTTTGAGTTTGTAGTAATTAGAAAATTTTAAGTAAAAAATTCCAAGTTTTTAAAAATATAAACTTTGGAAATTCAAACTTTTCAAATTTTTAACTTTGGATTTTGAAATATTGGAGGGAATGATTAATTTCATAAGTGCACATATTTAATTGAATGAGTAAATTCAAATTAAGTATAGGCCCATGCTTGATTGGTTGGTCGGTTGGTCAAGGCAAGATAGAGGGGTAGTTATGGATAGTTACACTCTCTATCGTACTATGGAGTGGCCAACCTCCCACTCTCTCATTTTTTTCTCCTTTTATGTGCATTTCAAATGTAATGTTAGTGTTGAAATCCAGCCGTTCCTAGTACAAAGAATCCGACGGACACAAAGATCAATTTGTGGGATACTCTCATGGATCACGCCATAATGAGGGAACGATTTTAGGAAAGATTTTATTTTCTTATTTGTGTATTAAATCTGCAATTTATTATTTCCGCATTATGACATCTTGTATAGATCTATAAATAAGGAAGATTGTAATGAATAAGAATAAGCTTTTCCTTCTCAAATCCTCGTCTTTTAACAGTTAGAACTATATAAGCATTAGGAAAAAAAAGGAAGAAAAGTGTTGTTGTTGTGTTTACAAGAATTTTAGTTACATCTAAGAATAGAAGATTTGGTGGTCGTCTCTCACTTGAAGAGGTTCGGTGATTTTTTTAACCTTGTTATTTTGGTTAGTAGCAAATCAATTATATATTAACTTTAAAAAAACACGGTAAAACTATTCTACAGCCATTCTCTCACCATCTCATACCCATTTCCTAGCATTCTCCCCATAAAATCCCATCCAAAACCTTTTCCTATAGCCGTCAGCCAAACTAAACTAAATAGGACCTAGTTGGATTTTAGCCTCCATTTGACTCATCATACCTCATTAGGATTCGATGAAATCCTTAGAAATATTCTTAAGACACTCCTCTTCCATATCCAAGTATTTTCAAGTCCCAGAATGCCTAGCAATTGAAACATTAAAATCTTGAAGCCCACTTGTTAAAATTCGGCATATCACTTTCTCATTACATGGAATTTGAATACCAAGCCATTTCAACCCTTCCCAAGGATTATACATCATCCCTAACACATTTTGGACCCTCTCAAGGCCAAAACAACAAACCCTAAAGGGCTAAACCCTTGGTTGCCACAGTATATTGAAGCTGAGAATCTTCTCTAGATTGGAAACTAGAACCTGCTAGAATATTGTAAACCTTAGTTTGGGCATGATTTTTCAAGAGATTTATTATATTGCATCTTTCAGGCACGTTTTTTATGAGTTCATATCATATTTAAAGGAATAAATAAATGCTACAAAGTACAGATTTGGTATTCTATAATTTGTGGATATTCTTATGATAAATATATTGAGGAATGTGAAATCAAAAGGGGTTCATAATAGGGCTAGATATACTAATGGTTTAACCCATTTAAATCTATAACCTTGAGCTTCTGTTTGAAGGTTAATAATTTGGTATTTCTACATTATATTTTTCAACTTTTTCATATAAAACTAACTCAAAGCCTCACTTGCCTTAACAATACCCCCTCATGTGAGAACACTCTACATTGTCTATCGTTCCCCCTCAAGCAAAAGCTTCATCAAGTATTATGCATCAGCACATTCAATCATGTGGTTGTCATACAATTCAGTTGCTCTTGAACTTTGTTGAAGTGTGGTGGAATAGGGACAAAAACAATGGGAGAGACAAATTGTATGAACTACACTTGTTATCAACCAAATCATTTGCTTTGATAAGTGATACCATTTTTTTAAGTAGTATGTAGGGCTACAAATGAACCGAACGTTCGATGAGCTACTCATGAATTGGCTCGATAAGAGCTTATCCATGTTCGTTTGATAAGGTAAACAAATGAGTTTAAATACTTTTAATAAATACTCGACAGCTAAATAAACGAGCTTGAACAACTTGGCGTTCAGTTTGTTTATGTTCATGATCAATATCGTTTAACGCTCGTGAATAAGTTTGTTAATAAGCCTGATTAGAGCTCGATTAGAACTATATTAGAGTTTTAATATATATATATATATATATAGTTTAATTTAACAATTTAATTATTATTTTAACTGATCTCATCTAAAATCATTTAATAATTTATTTTTAATTCCAGCATCCACCTAAAATTACGAACAACCTGCTCTTTGAACAAATATAAGATGAATCATAGATCGTTTGTTCATGAACGAGTTCATTTGGTAGCTCGAAAATACTAATTAGATATGTTCATGGACGGGCTCATTTGATAGCTCAAGAATACGCATTAGATATGTTCGTGAACAAGCTTGTTCGATAGTTTAAAAAACTTCGCTAGATATGTTCACGAACAAGATTTGTAGTTGTTAGTTAGAAGGCTTGATAATGATCGTTTGTTAAGTTAATGTACATCTAAAAGTAGAGCTCGTTTATAGCTCGATAAGGCTCGTTTGTTAAGTTAATGTACATCTAGAAATAGAGCTTGTTTATAGCTCAATAAGGCTCATTTGTTTAAAGCTCGATAAGTACGAAATGAATCGAACATGAACATCCATTAATTTAAATGAAACAAGCTTGAACACAAACAAAAATGCTCGAATCAAACTCGAACCGAACTTTAACAAGATGAGAATAAACGAACTCAAATATCAACACGAACATACTTGGCTCGTCTTGGTTCGTTTGCAGTCCTTGTGATATAGGACTAGCATGTGAAGACTTGCACTATGAAATTAAACATAAGTTAAATTTAAAATCATCAAGCTATTAATCATGGGGATGCTTAAAACAAGCTTCAAACAAGTAAGAAAAGCAATCCACAAATAGCAACATAACATTAAGGAAAAGTTCTCAAATGCCCTTGGGCTTACAACATAACATTAAGGAAAAGTTCACAAACTAAATTAAATCACATACAACACACATAACAACTAATAATATAATGACTTAATCGTGGCGGTCGATCTACATCCCCTTTTATGATAAAATTTCCATACATTGATGTCCCATCACCCAGTATGAAACCAAAGTGCCTTTGTAGTTGAGCTAAAAACATCAATGGTATAACATATTTTCAACCCAAATAATTATTAAGTCTATAGATTGAGAGCCAACCACTTATTATTTTTACACCAACATATTTTCTTACTTTCCGATGTAGAATTAAACCCAAAGCCCATGTGCCTTAACAAAACACCCTTAGTTGTTCCCTTTGATGTAGAATTCAACCCAAATAATTATTAAGTCTATTGTTGAAAATATTAACGTGCAAGGCTTTTAGGATATATATGTATAGATTTATGAAAATTTTGTTGGAGTGTAAACTACAAGGGGGATCAAAGTTGGGCTAGATATGCAATTGATCGAACACATTTTCGTCCTAAACGTTTATACTTATAGTTGTGTGGTATTTCTACACTATATTTTACATCAACCCAATGTGAAACTAAATCTACTCTCACATGCTTTAACAATTTTTTTCAACTTGAGTTTGAAATTACTTGGTCGAGTTTCTTGATGATTATAGTCATTTCCTATGGGACTCAAACCATATTTAGAAAGGAAAAGAAAAACGCAAAGAGACAAGAACTTGAAGTTATTTTGAAAACTGTGAACTTTACAAGAGTTGGTATTCTATATTAACTTTTGAAAGCTATGATTCATACAAGCTATGTGATAGTCTAATTTTGTTCATGACAAGGTTTGATTAAATTACTGAGCACAAACCATTAAAAGAAAGTTAAATATGTATACTTTTTGGCCTAAAGAAAATGTTTTTAAATGTTTTATTGTAGTTTTTTCCTATTCTAGACTGTTCTCAGCCTTCTGATTCATCAAAGTTACATGAAAATGCGGAGAAGAAGGTTGAATGCATGACTGGCAATGGCTGAGGTAAGGAGGGATTAGTTAAAAATAAGAAGCACGAGATGTTAGTATAATATGGATTTCTTTTGTTTTCTTGCTATGAAGAACCATTTAATAAAAGTAATTAAAGTTTAACTCATTAAGCTAACACCAATTAGTCATGATTAAGCTATAACGGTAACATTTAGCAAAACATTAATCATCATATCTAATACCCAGGATGACACTCTTAAACTCTTACTTTACACTAATCTGAACTTCAGATTCTCTGGTACGTTTGAGTAATATAACTGAATATGTTATTGATGCACATTTTGGCTTCATTTGGGACGGTTTATTTATTGCTTCTTAAACCAGCTTTTTAGTACATTTTTTTTTAATTTTTTATTAAAAAATTGATTTAAGAAGTAGTGAAAAAGCCGTCCCAAACAAAACCTTTATTTTACTAATTTCTATATGAAATTCTCATGATGGACAGGAAGAGGTAGAGGAGCTCGAGAGAACTGAGAAAGTATCAGCATCACTACAAGAGTATTAAGGCCTACAACTTCCACCTTTTTAAAGGGTTCCAATTTCTAATGTACACCAAAGCATTGAACTAAATTTTCCATTTGCTCTATGTATTGCCAGATTGTTGCAGAAGATAGAAAGCCATGCTGACCCTCTTCTACCAATGTAAAATCTCAACGTTATTCTTTTCAAATCTTGTAGCTCTCATAGCTGGGAAATTATTAGGTTCGTACACCGGACGCAACTTATTGTTCGGAGACGAATCAGGTGCAGCCACATCATCCAGTACCGAGTTCGGTACTACTTAGTGCTGCTTAGTACCAAGCACGGTACTGAGCAGTACCAAGTAGGAGGTGATATGGCACATATTCATTAGATTATGGATGGCGTCAAGTGTCCGAACCCAATAATTTCCCCTCATAGCTTCTCTACTTTGCTCAATTATTACATATATATTCTCTTGCAGAACGCATGGACCTGTAAACCCAACCTGGGACAAGTGGTTTGAGGGCCCTCCAGATTCACGTCACTGCAAATGCTGGATTCTCTGATCTTGACCGTTAAAGAGAGTTAGTTATGCAGAGGGGTCTCAGATCATTTGTTATGATAAGCTGATGGGTCTATGTAAAGTTCTTTATAAATGAATGTTGCATTTGTTGGAAATTTATTAGGTGAGCAAACACACAAGAGAGCTGTTATATGCATTCGGCTAATGCAATTACTGTGTAATTTCATGTATTTCTGTGACCATTATGTTTGATTCAGTTTGTTCCCTTTGATTGGATTGGGTTTAGGGTTTATTATTTGGGTTGTTCCATTTGACAAAATTACTATATAACAAATAATTTTACAATAACTTCTTATGTATTTATCTAGTAATTAAACTTTTATATTTTTTTGTGACATTCATTTTTTTTTAAATAATATCAAAAATATAATTAATAGTAATGTATTTCTAATAAAATATATTTTATTTAATATAAATTAGACATTTAAATAATATATAAATAAATACAAAACTATAAGTATTAGATAGGTACATATATAAGAATTTAAATGTATGCATGCTTATCACTAAAAAAAATTAAGTTTTTTTTAAAATCATTTGGCCTTCAATTTTTTATAAAAACAAGCAAGATGGTTAATTTAAATTAGGAATAAGAGTAAAGTTTTAAAAAAATTATAAAAAACAAATTAATCAAACAAAATAACACATTCTATTGAATGCATCAAATTATTTAACATATTTAAAATAAGCTAAGTAAACTAACCAAACAAAATAGAGCATTCCATTTAATGCATGACACTATTTAACATATTTAAAATAAGCCAAACAAATTGACACATTCAATGAAATGCAACATTCTATTTAACACATTACATTGAATACACCAAGTTAGTTAACACATTGCTATAATAATTTTAGAATTTAAATTGACTAATTAAGGTGAATGCACCATTCTATTTAACTAATTTGCTTCTTTTTGAATTTTTTTAACACTGTGCTCCAATTCCTAATTTAAATTAACCACCATACTCCTAAAAAAATCATTAAATCTTTTCATTAACTTGTAAAAAAACTGATTAAATCATGAATTCATTAATTTTCTCTATATATTCTTGCCATCCAAAACTAACTGTAATAATCCCATTCAGCACTAGCAAACAAGCAGGATGGATCCTACTACTGGTACCCACCTGCTTATTATGAATTTGATGTCTCAGCAGCAAGAAAAGTATAAACAAAGTTAGAAAGCCAAAACAAAACATGATGGGCAAAGAAGAACAAGATATCGTTCACAACAACATGAAAAACCATGAATCCACATCTTTTCTACAACTAACACATAAAACTAACAAGGAGAACCAACCAAGACATAACAAGTCAGAATACATAACATAACTGTTTCAATCTATGTTAACGGTCCAGAAATCCAAAGCAAAACATATAAGCAAAACAAAGCATACGAAACTATGTTCATTCCTTAGTAGACTTGTTGATCAGGGACTTGTGAATATGGGGAATGACTCCACCACCTGCAATGGTTCCCTTGATGAGAGTATCAAGCTCCTCATCACCGCGAATAGCCAGTTGCAGGTGGCGAGGAGTGATTCGCTTAACCTTCAAGTCCTTACTGGCATTCCCAGCCAACTCCAAAACCTCAGCAGTAAGGTATTCAAGGATGGCTGCAGAGTACACTGCTGCTGTTGCACCGACACGACCATTGGCTGCAATTCTTGATTTTAGCTGCCGGTGAATTCGACCAACTGGGAACTGGCAATAAACATAAAAAGTTAATGACAGAAACAATTCAAAGCAACTTACTTTGGGTCAGTTTTAAAGTTTTGTTTGGAACAACTTTCAAGATTTTTTTATATTAAAAAACAGCTACACAAAGTAGTAAGAAAACCATCCAAACAAAGCCCAAGTCCATTTGCAATTTTTTTTAAACTATTGTAAATTTATGAAAACTGTTTGGTAATATTCATGATAAATCATGTTAAAAATTGTTTGGTAACATTCATTATAAATCATGTTAAAACCAGTGCGACTGTTTGACAATTTTGAAGAGGTGAGGGTGTGGAGATGAGGCAAATAGCACCGCTTTCGTTTAAATCTACTGAGCAAGAGGATTTCGGAAATCTGGGATTTTCCACAAAAAAATGTAGAATTTTCCATCAATTGCAGCTTTCATTTACCGTGAGATTTGGCTTTGCATTTTAGGCTGTTTGGCTGGATTTAGCTTAAATTCGCCTAAAATCCAACCTAAATCCTGCTACCAAACAGCACCTAAGTCTAACAGATAGGTTGTTATAACATCTCAACACACAAATTTCTTAAAAAGCAAGAAAGTTATAACAAAACAGAGATGTGGCAATAATCAAAAGAAAATAATTATTTGAGTTTGCATTTGACCATAATATTTAAAGGATCATTGTTCAAGCTTGTTGTAAAGAAAAGTAAGTTTTGCTACAGAATCTGTTTCCCTTCCTCTAGGCTAAGAACAACCAAAACAAAACAATTAGAATCAGCGAGTTTTCAAATTTAGATTGCCAAAAAAATAAGTAATTAAATCACAAAATGAACCATACTAAAAAGTGGTTTTCTAAATTGGAAAAGAAAATTCTAAAAAATAAAATCTTATTAAAAAACACCAAAACAAAATCTTATCACCACATCAAAATAAGCCTTGCTTGCATACCGAATATGATAAACACGACAAGCTGCAACTTCAGGGTTCAAAAACATTAAAATAAGTTGCCCGAGATCTAAATTCAACATCTTTAAATAGTTTTACAAATTCAAAATGGAATTCGCATCCCTTTCAAAGGTAATTGAATGTATATAGAAAATCTGCTCTATAGCATACATCGAATCACATAAAATTTATGAATTTAACCTTAAGTCAAAATTAAGATTATTTTCTGAATTATCTCAAATACTAACTATAAACGTGGGAAAGTGGAAGCGTCGTTCTGAGTTTGAATACAAAAAAACAGGGGCATAGGCAAAAATCGTTCTTTTCTTGAGTACATAACGCCAAATGCTTCGCAGGGCCGTCCAGGCCCGAGCAACAGACCACAAACTTACTGGCATAGCCAGAATCACGCTTCGCCAAAAAGATAAACGCGAACGAGCTCGAGAAGCTCGAAAAAAAAACCAGACAGAGCGTTACCAGTAATGTAAAAGATAGATTTTTTTTGCAAATAAAAGAAAAGGATGACAGAGAAGTGGCTGAGACAAAGTAGGTATCTAAACCTGGAGTCCGGCACGAGAAGAGCGTGAAACCGGCTTCCTTTTGTCCTTATCCTTGGATGCCGCGGTCGTCTTAGCAGCAACGAGGCCCTTCCCACCCTTGCCCGCCATCTTCCACCTGGAACCATTATATTCAGACAATAGAACCAAAATCCCAACCCACAGCCCTCAGAGAAACCCTAGATCTTGAAAAAAAAGTAACAAAAAAACAAAGTAAAACCCTAATTTTTTTAGAAGAAAATTTGAACCACTTGAAAAGGATATGAAGAGACGAACCAAGGAGGTTCGATTCTGCTGTAGAATCCGAAGTGATCGATAGGTACAGAGAGACGGTAGGAAAGAGGAAGCGAAGAGATGTGAAGAGAAAGTGCGCGCTCAAGCAATTAATTGATGGAGGAGGGAATTTGGTGGCATTCGAGTTTATTGGCGGTTAGTTTAGGGGGCAATTGAAAATTTTCAAATTTTAGGAATATTTCCGAAATAGGTAAATCCCCACCAATGAAAAACTATATCATTAACTTGAATTTAATTACAATTTAAAGGCTTTTTTTTTAGAGTTCTGATTTGAATTTATTAATAAATTCAAGCAAAAAATGGAATATGTAAATCATAATTATAAAGAGAAAAAATATATGTCCTAGTTTTTCATGATAATCAAATACATAGAAAAAAAAAATAATTTATATCAAAACTTTAATATGCAAAACTCAAAAATAAGAGAGAAAAATCATAGTGTTTGACATCCCCTCGAGTGGAGATGACAGGATTACAAATATATAATATAAGTTTATCTTTCTATTAATGTGAGAGAGAATATTGGAGATGAGATAGTTGAGTAGTATTGATCAGACGATGGTGAGCAGGTGGCAATAGGTGGTCGTGATGATGATGTGAAAGCAGTTTGATAATTGTGATCAATTGATGATGAATGGGTTGGGTCAGATGAGCAATAGTGGTCAAACGATAATGGTTAGGCAATGACGATGAAATGATAGTATTTAAGTGAAGTGACCAAATGACGGTGATTAGGCAACTGGGTCAAATGATAGCATTTGGTTGATGGTGGTTAAATGATATCAATAAGGAGGCAATAGTCACTAGTGATGGTGATTATCAATGTCAAATCTCTAGTAGAGCTATAGTTCTCTTCAAATCTCCAAACTATTCAAGTTCAAGTCTCCTTTATATGAGGAATATGGGTGTACTTGTAATTTTTTAAGAGTGACATTTCAATAAATTCAACCAAAATTCATAACATTCTATCTCACAACTCATATTAAATTATTTGATAATAGATTATTAATTCAACATTTTGGTATCTTAATGTCATAAAAATCAAATGATCTTGAATTTGTTGGATTTGTCTCACCAAGCTGCTAGATTTGAATATAAACATGCAAATTTTGAAGATTGTATGGCCCTTTAATCAATCACTTAAAGTTTAGGTTTTCAACTATTGAGGGAATGAGTGTTTATCAAGCTGAAAATATTTATTTTAATAAATGAAATCAAATAAGCATTATTCATGTATAATTGGTGAGTCAAAGTAAATGGAGGTGGTGGTTACTTGATAGTTACCTCAATCTCTCTCCTAGTCACTCTTGTGGTTGGCCCCCACTCTCCTTTTCCCTCCCTTTATGTATTTCAAGTTGGTAGTTTTAAATATGATATATATTTGATGGACTAAGAAATGAAAGAATATTATTGTCTTGTTAAAGTTTGGATCTTATTTTCAAGGAATAGGGGTTTGATAGTGTGGGCTCCAAAAATTCGTGCCCCGGCCTCCCCTACGTATGAGAGTTTTAACGATATTCCGGGTCAAATTTTCAGAAGGCAGATGAACTTTGGGATAAAACACTACCCAGCGCCAAAGGAGGTGAACTTTTTCAACAAGATTGTTAAGGAAGACATATGAAAATGCTCATTCATGAAATTCAAAGTACATTTGAAAGGCACACTATATTGAAGGCTATACTAAAATAAATAAATAATCAAAACGCCACCGGATCCGCACCACTTTTACAAGCGGACAGAAGGAGTTTAATGACCCCTCTTCTGCATTCAAAAATAATTCCAAATTTTAATATGATGCACCGAGCAGGGTGTCAACACCTCTAAGATGAGTGTAGCAGCCTTGGGAAGCAAGCGACTATCCCAATAAGAGTGCTACCGTCTTGAGAAGCAATTCACCACATCTATAAGCATGCGTATTAAATTTTAAAAGCTTAATATACATGCTATATAAATCCCCGATGATGGCCGCGTTGAATGTCTATATCAACCGGAGGGGACTCTTCACCTTCAAATGCCTCCAAATGCTGATAAAATAAAACTATTTTCAAACAACTCCAAATTCGCCCCGATGATGGCCGTGTTGAATATTTATATCAACTGGAGGGGATTCTACACCTTCAAATATTTCCAAATGCTTATGAAATACAAATATTTTCAAATGCCAAAATTCATCCCCGATGATGACCGTGTTGAATGTTTATATCAACCGGAGGGGATCAATTATTCCAAATGCCCTCAAATTTCTACAAAATACAAAAATTTGCAAATGACTCCAAATTCACCCCGATGATGGCCGTGTTTAATTGTCTATATCAACCTGAGGGGATCTCAAACATTTAAAATACCCCCAAATTTCAAAATTAAATCATATTTGGAACAAAATCTCAATAAATTTTATAATATTCAAATAAAATTTATTATTCAAAACTTAAAGCAAAAATCCATCCATCATCTGCAAACGTTTGTTAAGGATGATAAATTTCAGAATAACTTAAGTCCGCAAAGAGTAAAATGTCTAATCGAATGTATCACTGTGATTCATTCTCAAATGATTTCTCGCCAGTGGGGACGTGGCATGTGCCCTCTGACCGGGTGGTTTTGCTACAAAATAGCACCACTATATTACGGTTATGGTCAAAGTCCGTATGTTCTCCAATGGTTAAAAGCCCTTGAGTAATGAATCATAGGGTGCACTCAATAAGGCATAAAGCTTTCTGTTAGCTAAGGTTGACTAAAATTTGTCTCCTTAAATAAGCATCCACCCTAAGTATACAAGGTAACCTTGGACGAAGCAACCCATGGCTGCCGACAAGGATCCTTCTGTCAGGTTGGGTCGACTACCTCCTCTCACTAAGTAGACTAGGGACCACGATGGCCCAGGATGACGGAACCATGGGATCTTGATCAGGCTCATCATCATTCCCCCTACCATTCGCTTTAAGTATAAAAATAATGAATTTATAATTCCAATTTCATATATTGCTACTATATGCTAGGTATTTCGTACCTCCTTAATGACTAGCCTTAATCGAAAGTGCTCTCTCGTGATCGAGAGGGGTAATTAACCATAGGTGCTTGCGCCTATGGGAAACCTAGAACCAGATTTTAACGTTCTCACAAAATGAGGGCGAAATCTCTGGGTAGTGTTTTATCCCAAAGTTAATATGTCTTCTGAAAATTTGACCTGGAACATCATTAAAACTCTCCTACGCAGGGGAGGCCGGGGCACGAATTTTTGGAGCCCACATGAATCAACCCGAACCCAACCCAATTTTTGAAATGAGTTTATTTGAACCCAAACCCAACCTGTTTCGGGTCCGGGTTGACCCTAACTAGAAATTTTTGGGTTGGATTCGAGTCGATTTTCGGGTCATGCCAAATATTAACACCCTTAAATTTTAAGTATGTTTCAAAGAGCTATAAAGGGCTTAATATTCTATAGAGGAAACCAAGTAGGTTCTCAAAATTTTAGTTCATTGTTGCATGAAAATAAGAGTTTTTCAATTATCATTCAATAACTTATTATAAATATCAGCCAAGCTAGTATATAAATACATTAACAAACATACATGCCAGGGCATTATCTCGTTGGTTGTTTTTTAGAAACTAAATGATGAGATGTGGCTTTTAAAGATAAAGAAACTTCAGAATTAATGGGCAATGATCATTACAAAATCCTCTCTTTGATTATCGATAGCTAAGCCCATATGTCATTGCATTTACTCTATCTTATAGTTGTATTTTTTTTCCTTATTTTGATCATTTTCATTAGGAACATTTATTCTATCTTTAAAATTTTGAAATTCTTCTTTATTTCAATGTGATGGTATATATTTTACTTTAAAAAAGCATTGATGATAGGCCCAACATCAAACGAGGGCTTTAACTGAGTTTCGAAGAATTATGCATTTCATTTCTTGATTAATCTGTGAGAGCTTCTAATAATTCATCAATATAAATAGGTCCAATGGAAGCAACTATAAATGATACACATCAAAACATTTATATATTTAGTTATCAAAATTCAATTTATAATATCCAAAAGATTACTAAGTACATCACTCTATCCCACTACACTACTAACTACAAAAAAAAAAAATGTAGAAAATAAAACAAAATTTAAAAATCTCAATATGTCTCACTCTGCTAGATCTTGACATCTTCCTAAAAATATGTGAAAATCGCATAGTGTAATAATTGCTCAATAGGTTATCAGAAACTACAACTACAATCAATGTATAACAATATACATAATATGCATGTAATTATTCAATCCATATCAGTTTAAACATATAACAACAAGAATAAATGAGAATTAATATGAATAATGTCATTTCATAGGAGCAATGAAAATAATATAAGCAATATCATTCATAATAAATAATCAATGGCATATGAATGATCAGTATTTTCTGTCATTCCTATACCCATGTCAAATTACAACATAGTAGGTTTGTTATAAATATACACATGTTAACATATTCTACTTTATTTCAATATATATGTCATTTCATGTACATTAATATTCATCTGATATAAAGCAAGTAAACATCTATATCTAATGAATGTCGTAGAATATCAAGATATGTATCTTACGTACTATATAATGTATAAATGTAGCATATACATGGCAATATGTTATGTATATCATATATCTTCATATCAGTCTTATTATCTATATGCATCAGTCATATTTTATATTATGTGCATATCATATTATATCATGTCGCTTTATGCAATTCATGTATGTCTATTTCATATACATAAGAAAGGATATTTGGCTACTCGTGATGTTTTTCTTATGTCAGTCTTATAGGCCAACCCTACAGTAAATAGTCTTAATTATCTAAGTCACATTTCAAGAATCAATCTCATATCACAAGTTAGATGGCATTCATTTAAGAAATTATCACTTCATGTCCGTTGGTGTATCATATCATATTAGTCAATTTTACATCCATTTTTATATAAGTGAATATCACATAATGAATCTTATTTACCGGAAGGTTTGTCGGGCCTACTCTCTTATATAGGGTCATATGTCTCCAGTCAACCTGAATCAATCAATCATTTCCAACTAGCTTTTCTTATTTTTATAAATTTTCATATCATATAGTGCATAAAAGTAAAAATCATATACAC